CACGGCTAAAGTCGTGGACAATACATTGCCCACGGCTTCAGCCATGGACAATGACTTTGAACGCTGCTATTCGCGCACCGTGTCGTCGCAAGATGGCGGCGTGCGATCGGCCACAGAAAACGCGCACAAAGCCACTTTGCCTGCACTTGTAATACAAAATAGTATGTGTATCACGTGCGGATTGACAATTGTTCACTCGTGTGGGGTGGTCGCATTCGCCTTCGGCTCGTGCGTCCATCCCCCGCATTTGTGACCAATTGTCAACTTTCCGCACTTGATACACAATATACTATTATAGATGTAAAACATATTATCATTGCTATATAAATAAAAAATAAAATATAATTCTTTCAAATATATATTTAATCAAATATATTTAATTAAATATACAAAAAATATGTATATATATATATATATATATATATTTTGAGATTATATATTACGTATACGTAAAATGTACATGCTGACATATGCTGACATATTATTGATGACTGATAGATGAATGTTACACGTATGTAAAATATACATAAATATTGCATTAATATACATCTATATTACAATTAATATTCTTATACATATATATAATTAATATACATATATAATATGTTAAATTATTGTATATAACATATTTTTATGCACGTAAATAAACTTATTACTATATTTAATTGATGTCTGTTAATAATAGTCTGTAAATAACATATCAATGTACATATATTTTATAAAAAATATAAAACTTTTATGTTGTAAAATTAATTTTATAAAAAATATAAAACTTTTATGTTGTAAAATTAATTTTAGAAAAATATAAAACTTTTATATTGTAAAATTAATTTATAAAAAATATAAAACTTTTATGTTGTAAAATTAATTTTATAAAAAATATAAAACTTTTATGTTGTAAAATTAATTTTATAAAAAATATAAAACTTTTATGTTGTAAAATTAATTTTATAAAAAATATAAAACTTTTATGTTGTAAAATTAATTTATAAAAAATATAAAACTTTTATGTTGTAAAATTAATATTTCTAAAAAATATAAAACTTTTATGTTGTAAAATTAATATTTCTAAAAAAAAAAAATGATATCTAAAAGTTGCGCCAAATAAATAAATATTTATAAAAAAAATTGAAAATTAAAAACTTATGCAAAAATTAAAAAATTAATACAAAATTTAAAAAATTAAAAAATTTTAAAATAATAACTGTGAGACGACCCAACTGGCTTAAATTTATTATTATTATTAATTCGATGTCATATACAATAAAAGACAACGTTTCGAGTAAGTTTAGGTCCTTATCAAGTCTTACAAATTCTTTAATACAATATATAATTGAGTTTTTACATTATACACATTTCTATATAAGTACTGTGTCAAGTAAAACGTTCCGTATGGATGGTAAAGGCGAACGTAAAAAATTTTAGTTAAAAAAACTTGGCGCTGCTAAATTAAACAATGTGCTAATAATATTAACGTACTCTGTATGTACATTTATGTTTCAGTTTATTTATTTATTTATTTATTTATTTCCAGTTATTATAATGATGTAATTTTTTAAGTAAATTAATTATTTGTTATTAAAGTAATGTTTATATAGAATTAATTTTATTTGTTTTAACTTTAAGATATACCTATTGCAATAACTAATTAACCACTATGCTAATGAACGAACTCCGTACATATTTACATTACAAATATTTTTGTACTTTTAAATTAAATAAATTGTTTAGTAGTTTATTTGTTACGTTAAGATATATTGCCATAAATTAATTATTTGTTACTTTAAGATATATTATAGATAAGATTCATTGCAGTTATTTTTAAATTTAGCAGCGCCAAGTTTTTTTAACTAAAATTTTTTATAATACGTTCGCCTTTACCATCCATACGGAACGTTTTACTTGACACAGTACTTATATAGAAATGTGTATAATGTAAAAACTCAATTATATATTGTATTAAAGAATTTGTAAGACTTGATAAGGACCTAAACTTACTCGAAACGTTGTCTTTTATTGTATATGACATCGAATTAATAATAATAATAAATTTAAGCCAGTAGGGTCGTCTCACAGTTATTATTTAAAAATTTTTTAATTTTTTAATTTTGTATTAATTTTTTAATTTTTGCATAAGTTTCTAATTTTCAATTTTTTTATAAATATTTATTCATTTAGCGCAACTTTTAGATATCATTTTTTTTTTTTTAGAAATATTAATTTTACAACATAAAAGTTTTATATTTTTTATAAAATTAATTTTACAACATAAAAGTTTTATATTTTATATAAATTAATTTTACAACATAAAAGTTTTATATTTTTTATAAAATTAATTTTACAACATAAAAGTTTTATATTTTTTATAAAATTAATTTTACAACATAAAAGTTTTATATTTTTTATAAAATTAATTTTACAACATAAAAGTTTTATATTTTTTATAAATTAATTTTACAACATAAAAATTTTATATTTTTTATAAAATTAATTTTACAACATAAAAGTTTTATTTTTTTTATAAAATTAATTTTACAACATAAAAGTTTTATATTTTTTATAAAATTAATTTTACAACATAAAAGTTTTATTTTTTTTATAAAACACTTTAACACATGACGCGTAAACTTGGCGCCCTTTTTTTACCTTTTTTTTAAAAAAGGTATTTTTTTTATGGATATCATTCCTTTTTGTAGTACATACCATATATTTTTTATAATTTAAAATAAGAAAGCAAAGAATCCGCCATCATCCTCGTCATTATTTCATATGCTATATATATTATTTATTAGTCATCTTTTGTAAAAATATTATATAAATATTTTTAGCACCTCTAGGCCACTGTTTTTTTTTAATTAGCGCATCATCAACTTCGACCCAAATGTTAGATACTCCTTCTCTACACATACTTATATAATGACCTTTATCAATACACGAATCATGATAAAATATAGCACTCATCGTCTTATATAACTGTCCAGCTATTAATACTTTATTTGTTGGAACAGTACATAGATTTAATTTTTGTGTTGCTTTCATTAATTTATTATTTTGTGAAAATACTGTTAAATGAATTACAACTATCTCTTTTGCCAATGATATTTCATTTTTAAATATTATATCATTTCCAGTACAACGTTCACATGATTTATTGTGTGATTCTTTCCAGTGTGAAGTCGTAACATTTAATAAATCATTTAGATTATAACTTTTCTTTTTCAAATTATTAATAGGAATTGAAATAGCAATATTCTGTTCAACAGTAATTTTAGTATTACCACAAATTTTGCATCGTTTAGTAGAAGTAACTTGATGTTCTATTAAATTTCTTATACAATCATATTTTTCGCAAAGAGTCGTAAGAAAATGGAATGCATTTCGTTTTGCGGTGTTCGAAAAATATTCTCCTAAACATTGTCGTACTGTAAATGTATTTAAATTAGACATTCCATACCCAGTCAGAAATGTAACCTTGATTCAAGGTTGATTCAACGTCGATATGGTTGACAGCTAGTTGAGTCGATAAGAAAGTTGATATTACTGCAATATCAATCATCCAATCAGATGAAGTGCAACGTTGATTCAACGTTGATCTCTTTAACCGAAGTCTAACTCGTTATGAACCAATCCTGATTAGGTTTAACGATTTAAGTTTCGGTTATTAAAGTGAGTTGTGGAATCTGGCCTAAATGATTCAATTTATAATCGCTTAAAAAATTCTTGCGGGCCCGTGATTGAACAGCGCGTCAGAAAAGCTATAACACACCTTTCACATTGCTTGATTCGGCAATTGGTAAAATCTTTCGATGTGTGTGTTATACCCTTAAGTTGCGTCGCTACGATCGTAGATCGGGGGTAATGTATGATATATATGTATGACCATCCGTTAGAGTGAATGCGCACGTTGCGGATATTGCTTTTATGTTACAAGTGTATTATCGCATTTTTAATTATCACAATGGATATTGACGTTACTAAGCGGGTAAGTACTATTTTTCTTACACTTGATTGTTATTATTTTTATATAAAATAATAATAGGATACAAAATATAGGCGCGCGGTTATTAAGTGTTTGTGACAACGTAACCTATAATAAACATTTTCTCTGTATTTTGATTTAGAGTTTTTATATTTAAATTTTTTAATTCTGTACGTTGCTTTCCACGTATTTGTCAGATAAAGTGTGTAAAAAAGTATTTTTGCTTTGAATAATAAAAGGTAGCAGTTGGATATATATAATCAGTTCTATTCTATTGTTTCTATAAACAAAGAAAATAGTTTTATACATTTTTTTATCACATGTCAATTATTTCATTTTTTGTTTATATATATAGTGTTATAAACGTAGTTGGAAGGAAAGAGCTGAGACCATAGTTATAAAAAGATTGAAAGTTAAAGAGCGACAAGATTATATTTTAAAAAGAGTTAATAAATTATTAGAATCAAAATGTAGACTCAAGTGCAATAGTTTGAGCAACAGCAATTTGTCAATTTCAAGAGACTCTGAAGAAGAAAATTTGCAACTTAATGAATTAATAGATTTAAATCATTATTCTCAAAGTGAACTTGAGATTCAAGAAGATATAGCTTTCGAAAGACTTTCTAATGTCATGAGTTTTGATGAAAATATAGATAAAAGTGAAAATAGAGATGAAAATGAATGTATAGATGAGAGTGAAAATAGAGATGAAAATGAAAATATAAATGAGTGCAAAGGTATAGATGAGAGTGAAAATACAGATGAAAGTATATATGAAAGTGAAAATACGAATAAAAGTGAAAATGGAGATGAAAATGTTAATACAGTTTTTGAAAATGATCAGCAAAAGGAAAATTATGTAATATTAGCTTTACGTCAATGGGCTTTATCAGGTGATGTTATTTCTATGTCAAAAATAGATGAATTACTTGCAAAACTTCAACCTGTATTTAATAATCTGCCTAAATGTTATAAAACTTTATTGAAAATTGATGACGATATTATATACATATTACTCACTTTGAAAATAGAGGACAATTTTGGTATCGAGGAATTAAAAATTATTTGGATGGGCTTAATTTAAAAAAGTACTTGCAAGTAAAACAAAAAATTGAAATAGATATTAATACTGACGGACTCCCTCTTTTTCGAAGTTCAAAGAAAAAATTTTGGCCAATATTAGGACATCTCGTAGGAACTAAAAATTATCCATTCATTATTGCTATTTATTTTGGGAATTCTGATCCAAATAATGTGAAAGAGTTTTTGCAAGATTTTGTAACTGAAGTTGATAATCTAATTTCTAATGGTTATGTACGATATGGAAAAACTTTTATTTTTTTAATTAGACATTATATTCTTGATGCTCCAGCTAGAGAATTAATAAAATGTTGTATAGGCCATAATGGATATGCTTCATGTGAAAAATGTACAGTATGGGGAGAACGATTAGATTATAGGCAAACGTATATTGATTTACATGCTCCTTTAAGAACTGACGAAAGTTTTAAAAATCAAATGCAACCTCGCCATCATAAAGGAGTATCACCTCTTCTTCAACTTAATACCAAAATGGTCTCTCAGTTTCGATTAGAGCCTATGCATTTGGTATATGAAGGTGTGTTTAAGAGATTATTAGAAGCATGGAAGAATTGGATAAGTCCATGGAAACTACACTGGACTGTTGTAAACAGAATATCTGATAGGCTGATTCTGTTAGCCCCTTCTTGTCCTCAGGACTTTGCTCGAAAACCCAGATCTTTACATGAATTATCATTTTACAAAGCAACGGAATTCCGTCGTTTATGTTTATACGATGGCATAGCAGCTTTTGCTTCACATCCTGATATAAATATTTATAAGCACTTTCTATTATTGCATTGTGGAATTTATATTCTTACAAGTCCCATTCTTTATAAAAGTTTTAACGAGTATGCAAATACTCTACTCAGAACTTTTATCCAACATTCTATCACATTATTTGGAAAATTATTTGTTGTATATAATGTTCACTCTCTTTGCCATTTGGCACAAGAATGTATTGATCATGGTTGTTTAGATACATTTAGTGCCTTTCGTTATGAAAACAAATTAAAAATGATTAAAAGTAACCTCAAATCTGGTTTTAAACCCATTCAACAAGCAGCAAAACGTGAGCTAGAACAAAGTAAGAAAAACGTTGTACTTTTAGATTCTGATATAAATAACATTATTTTTTCAAAAAAACATAGAAATATCAATGAAAATATTTATGGTGAACAGTTTAAAAAAATTTCAGTAAATGATGTTATTTTTGAAGTAAATAATAGAGATTCATGCTTCAAAACAAGTGAAGGTAAAATTGGAGTCCTGAGAAATGTCATTCGCAATCAGGATAATATAATTTTTGTTGGCAATATTTTTAAAAATATTACAGATTTTTATACATATCCTTTGCATTCGTCTGAACTTGGCATTGTCAAAGTATCTGATTTAAGTGAAGAAAGATTGGTATTTTCTATAAATAATATTATTGCCAAATGTTGGCTCATTCCTATAAAAGATGAATATGTTTGCATACCTTTACTTCATACTATGTCCTTTTACAAATAGAATTTTGATATATTATGTCGTCTATATTGTGTATCTAATTGTAAGTGTATGTAAAGTTAATTCTTTTATGTATTTTATTGTTAGAAAAATTTTAAGTCATTACATATCAAAATCATTATTTTTTCAGTTTGTCGTTTTGAAATTTATAAATGAAGATGTTGATTGCGACGAGGAAGACGATTCTTTATTTGAAGTTGGTCTTATTAAATGGCTAAAACAATTAGATGAAGAAACAAATGCAAAAATTTCTTGGCCTCCTAAATCTGAGCAGAGTACTGCAATTAAAAAAGAAATAGATGCACTTCCTTCATGGCCGATATATAATGTTACTGTTTTAAAATGTTATGGTATGTTGTTTCTTATTGCATATTTTTTGCTTATAAAAAGTTAATTGTCTTTTTAATTGTATTTCCTAGATACACTTTTGGCTGCACGAAATGCACGAAATGGATATATTATGTCGTCTAATTATGAAACAGAGTGTGAATTTGGTCGTGGTAAACGTAAAAAAATTAAGCGGCAGTTTGCATGTGATGAATCTCTCTCGACAGAAGTGACAAAAAAGAAGAAATTTAAAAATATTTCAACTTCTGATGATTCAGATTTTGATAGAGATGATAGTGCTATAAAAAAATATAAATTTAAACATGCTCCTTCTCCGCCACTTATCTTGTTTCGATCAGAAAATAATAAAGTAAAACAATATCAAAACAATATTATCACAGATAGCAAAACAAAAAAATTTGAAAGATTACAGAAAAATAAACAATTAGAAAAAAAATGACGCAATGTTGACATTTTCTAAAAATCATAAATCTAAAAAGGATCTCTTACTTACAAAAATATGTCAAGCAAGGAAGGTAACTTCAGTTACGGATAACAAAACAAAAATCATAGAGATTGCAAGAGAAAAACAGAAATGTTTAATAGAAGATAATGTAAGTATTTCTATACGTCGCACATGCAATGTGATGTAAGTCATAATTTTATTGGTATAAATAAAGTCTTGAAATGTTTTCATGTGTAAAGATGGATTCTGATAATGCTACAGAAGAAAATATTGATCCTAATATTCCACGAGAGGACGATTTTTCAATGAAAGTTCAGGATATGTCATCAAATAAAGATGTATCTCCAAGTACAAGTGCAAGATCGATAAATATAGAGACACCAGGTACATCAAAAGATTACTGTATTTATGAAGCAAATATATCTGATGAAAAATCATCTTTAATATGCACTTCTCCATCAGAATTACGTCAAAAGAGTCCAGTTACTTCACATGTGACAGCTGTAACTACACCGAGTTCATCTTGTAGATCAAGTAACATATATGACTTTGTACCTTTTAATTTTTTCTAAAGCATCAAATATTACGTTTTGATTTTCTTACAGGTAGTGTATTAGATGTGTCTAAAGCGACCTTTGATATGAAAGCTTTTGAAAAAAAGATGTATTCGTTAAATCAAGAAATTAGTAGCAAATTAGATATGATTACTATGAATTTATGCAGATTAAATCGCTTTCTTCTACCACATGAGAAAAGAATAATAAGACCAGCAGATCTTCCAGCACTTCCATTGACAACAGAGGAAGAATTAGAAAAATTTGAAAAATATTTAACGAAAGATGATAATGCTGGTGCAACTGTAAATAAATATTTATCGCTTTTATTATATATATATGTATATTTGTTTTTAATATTTATTAATATTTAATTTTCTTTGCTTAAATTTTGATTTTTTCCAGATTTGTTACATGAGTCAAATTATTGGTCCTAAAGACAATATTAAGGAAGCTACATATAAAGTACTAAGGAAACTTATTTCAAACACATTGGCAGCAGACTTTACTTTAAAAAGTGGTAAACATTTATCCAAAAAATGTTTCGAAAAGCTGATGCTGTATGAAGTTGTTCAAGGTAAGTAAACTTATATTTATTTCCAACTAAGAATCGTTTCAAATAAGAGAATAATATAAATATAAATTAATCAATAAAAATAAAATAAAAATTTAATATAATAAAATAATTTAAAAAATTTAATAAAATTTAATAAAATATAAAAATTATTGCATTTTTAGGTGTCATTTTAGACAAAAGGCCAGAAACAGAAATCCCAGAGATTGATGCAGCTACTTCACTGTGGCTAAAGCAAGCACCTTGGCGTCGCCAAGATGACGGCAGTATGGGGAAAAGAATAAAAAAATAAGATTATTTTTGTGTTTCTTTTGTTTTAAAATTTGACGATTTTTATAGCATATTTATGGCTGAACTATGCTCTGCTCTATATTTAAAACAACAAAATGTCTGCGACAAAAATATCTATTTTTTTATGCGTAACGTGAAATCAATTTCAGTTTTATTTTTTTTCTAATTTTATGCGATTGCGAAAAATGATTTATACTTTCGATTGTTTTAAAAAAAAAATGGAATTTTATTTTGTCGCTATATTAATATAGTATAAGAGACTTTTTCTTTTTTTTTGTTTACAAGCATCAGGACTTGTGTGTGCAATATTACTTTCGTTATCAAATTTATAAGTTTTCAGTACTTATTATATGTGTAAAAGTTAGTAAAACACGTAGCTGTTCTGCAATTATTTGTGATTTTTTGTTAAACGGTATACTAAACGCTTTATTCTTATAATATGTTAAAATTTGAAATAGTTTACAGATATAACGCATTGTTAATAAATATATATTTTATAATGCAATGTAGTTTAATTATATTCAACTTTGTATAATAATAAATGAAAGAAAAATAAGATTTGCACTTTTTGTTTTTTAGTATTTTTACCTTAAAAATAATAAATAATAAAGTATACTATTTTATATATATATATATATATATATATATACCATCAAATTTCGACGTTGAAACGACGTTGAAATAATAATTGAAAATTGGTTGATATTTGGTACGAGATCGACGTCGAATCGATCAAAATTTCGACTATACTTCGACATCAGATTTCAACGTTGATTCGACGTCGAGTCAACTATACATTTCTGACTGGGTATTCATATCGATGCATTAATATACGTAAAACATCTGATTTATCGCAATTAAATAATTGTTGCCTAATGACATTTAAATGTAATAAACATTGTAATACTGCATTTGCATAGCATGAAACTTTGTCTGTATTTTGGAAACCACGTATGATCCAAGCAATATTTTGTCGAACTGTTTGATCTGAACTTGATTTTTGAACAGAAGTAATTATTTTTGGTAACGCCCATAAAACATCTTTTACTTTACGATAGCGTTCTTTTGTCATAGTAATCATTTCTGCATTTTGATTGTGTATCTGTTTTAAACGATTATATTCAATAATAGCTTTTTCGCTAGTTATTACTGATGAAGGATCGTAATTAATTAAATGTAATCCTTCTAGAGATGTTACTCGTGATAATGCAACATAAATTTGACCACAACTAAATACAGAGTTACCGATGTCCATAATTGCACTTCGCAAACTCAATCCTTGACTTTTATGAATAGTGATACCATAACTCAAAGATAATGGAAATTGTTTTCTAATAACATACACTCTATCTACCACTTCAAATTTAACACTTACTCTTTCAATTTCATATTCTGAACCTGATGGTAAAAGAAGTTTAATCTTTTCTACGTAATCAGTAGATGTATCTTGTACAATTGAAATTACTTTAGCAATTGTACCGTTTACAAGACCTAAACTAGCATCGATATTATGTCGAATTATAACTTTTGCTCCAATTTTAATTTTAATTTGTTTTAAAAGTCCAGCTGTTTTTGAATTATCATCATCGTTATTTGACAATACTTTTAATGCTTTCTTTTTTAAATATGGAACACAATTAATCGTGTCTTCAGCAATTAATAATATTTCTTTTGAAACAATACGACTTAACATTGCATTATTAAGAATATCACACATATTACAAGTAGGCAATAAACAAACAGTGTCTGATGTTAAATTATTATTAATAAAATCACATAACTCATTTAATCTAGATTCGAAAGATTTATCTTTAAAAGATATTTTTCTACTTTCTAAAATTTTACAATCTGATTTTGTTACTAATCCAATACGAATTCGCGACAATAACTCACGGTAAGAATTATCGCCTTGTTGACGCATATTAATTGTCAATTCTTCGTAGTTAAATAATGTAGTCCATAAATTAATAGCATTTAAGGAACCAAGATGTTTGGCAATTTTTTCATTTGATAAATGCATAAAGATAGGCTCTTCGTGTACGGGAGGTAATTGAAGTAAGTCTCCGAATAAAAGAATATGCTTTCGACCAAACCAACCATCATCGTAATCACTAGTGTCAAATATTTCAGATAATCGAAGATGTATATACATTAAAGTCAAATTAGATATCATTGACACTTCATCGATTACAAAAAGAATAACATCTTTAAGATTTGCTCGTAAAAGTTTTAATACATGATCAGATAGTTGTTTATATTTAGGGGTATGACCATGTTCAACTGGTAATTGAAGCAATCTATGAATTGTCAATCCATTTACATTAAATGCTGCAATACCAGTAGGTGCTGCTACAGCAGTATCTTTGTTGAGATTTTGTTTTATCCAACATCAAGAGACACGGTAGTGTCTCGCGACCAGTTAAGGGCGTAGCCGAGACACCGTGTATCTTAACGCGAGTCGGACATTTGAGTCTTTATAATATTTCGAATTCTCAATAACGGCTGAAGCAATCGAGTTTATACTAGACTTAATCGATAGATTGAGTTTGAATTATATAATAAAAGTGTCTTTATTTCTGCTCTACGTGATTTGTAAGCAGAGATATATAATTGCAAAGTCGAAATATGAAAAATTTCTTTTAAGAAACGTCCCCGTCATCATCGACCACGCAAACATAGTAGTATCGTGCTACACGTATTCACACGTATACAACACATGCGCACACATATATCACACGTACACAACACATGAATAGATGCATGTATTGGAAATGTCCATCTCGCACGTTTTACAACAGACGGCGATAGTATGTCGCTCCATGATCCATGATGTTAGGTATATATGTGTCAGATCAGATGTCAGATTTGATGACATGTAACCTCTTTGCATGTAACATGTACAGGGTTTGTCCGGAAAGTAATGCGTCGCATTTTTTTGTGACGCGACTATACATCGCAGAGCGATGGGACCGGTTGGGGAGGAAGGGGGGTACCCTTAGCTTTCCAACGGTAGGTCGTTCAATTGTTTCCATGCGCTTGGAGGGTTAGGACGGCTTATTCTGTGAACCTCTGCTTAGTGGTCGCGTCGAACTTGTGATGGAGAGAACGATAGAGCAACGCTATGCGATAAAGTTTTGCGTGAAGCTGGACAAGACGCCGCTGGAAACTTTTGAAATGCTCAAGAAAGTTTGGCCCCGGCGGACTTTTTTTTATTTCCTCGGCTGAAAAGGGAGCTCAAAGGACAACAGCTCGAGTCGGTTGACAACGTACAAGCTACTTCGACGGCCTCCCTGAACAGCATCCCAGTCAAGGAGTTCCAGAAATCTTATGACGCATGGAAATCGCGTTGGCAAAAATGTATTGACGCAGAAGGGTCATACTTCGAACAATTTTAAGTTGTTTTACCTATGCGATCAATAAATTCTTTTTTAAAAAAATGCGACGCATTACTTTCCGGACAAACCCTGTATGTAGGTTACATTCCCTACAATGTCATGTTACATATTAGTTGTAATTATATAGAATCCACGCGTATGGAAGAAATGGATATTCTACTAATCGATTCAAATTTTTGCCAAGATGTATATAAGCAAATAAAGCAAATGCAAAAGCTAAACGATAATGCTCTCGATTTTAATTCTATATTAAATAGATTAGAACTCGCGACAGTAGATATGTATAATAAACTTTATTCACTAAGTAATATCATCAGACAAGTCCAATTACATCAAGAGCCTTCTGCTGACATTAATTCAGTGGTATTTTTTTTTTATTGAACAATTATATTATTCAATTTATTATATTATATTCTTTAGTCTTGCTGCGTTTGCATGATTCTGCAATACATAATTAACTAATAGGAACTACATCTGTTTTATAACTAATATTTTTTCAGCGTGATCAGGTCACGTCATGCATTGCAAATAATCAACGATTGTTGAAGGAATATAATTTGTCTGCTGAGAAATTTGATCATATTTGCTTGATTGCTACAAAATATAAATACGCGGGAAAACTTACAGGTTTTACTAGTAAATATGTATACACTCTGCTATCACTGAACCATGCTAGCATATATGTGGCAAATTTTTGGCTGCACTTAGAAATGAAGAATTTTAGTAGGCCAACGAAAATCAGCATCAATTGTAAAGGAGTGAGAATTGAAAATTAATTATATTAAAATGACCACGATTGTAATTGACTTAATAATAACGAATATTTAATTACAACAGAATGTGACAAGATTATTAAATTAATCTCTATGATATTTTAAGGGAAACAGGACGTACAATATACAACTTTGTTTAATAAATTACGATTGTACATGGGTTTATAATCGATAATTTTTCATACAATTCTATTGTACATGGGTTTGCAATGTAGGATTCTACATAAGTTTGCAATGGATAATTTTTAATACAATTCTACATGGGTTTGCAATGGTTAATTTTTCATAGGATTCTACATGGGTTTGCAATGGTTAATTTTTCATAGGATTCCACATAGGTTTGCAATGGGTACGATTCTACATGGGTTTGCAATGGTTAATTTTGCCTAGGATTCTACATGGGTTTGCAATGATTAATTTTTCATAGGATTCTACATGGGTTTGCAATAGGATAGGATTCTACATGGGTTTGCAATAAATAATTTTTGTTAATGGTTTAATAGTCTTGATTAAGAAACTTTTTCCAGTACCACCTTCTCCGGTAACATATAATCGTAATACCGATTTATCAGATTCTATAGTATTA